TATACCAAAACATTTTAAAAAGGTTGGATCTTTAAGGCCGATATCACAGTATGCTTTTAACTTATTATTAGAATGAAGTATATTTTAAATTATTAATATAAATAATAAATCAAAATTATATTCTGTATAATTAATAAAAATACTAAATATAAAGATTACCTCTTTTATAAATTCTTCATGACAATTACATGAATTATGAAGTAATTTAAGTGCAACGGAGCGGTTTACATTTTGACTTTTATCAGACCATCTAGCATAATACACAGTTGAAAATCCTCCTTTACCTATTTTTCTAACATTCATAAATTCATCGTAAGAAATCCAAGATAGCTGGTACTCATTTTCGATCAATAAATTTCTCAAATCATCATCAATTTCCGAATTAAGCATCCATTCATTTGTAACTAATAAATATTTATAAAATCTACCAAGTTTAGATTTTAAAAGAAAACAATAACAATATAACAATGTAGTTTAATAAATTATAATAAATTACAATAAATTATAATAATACCTAACGTTAATTCCTTCTCCCTAATCGGAAATTTAAATATAAGAATTTATTAATTACTATAAGCTATCATATAAATTATTGCATAAATTCTATCGTGTTCTCATATGATGGCGTTAGTAAGTCCAGCAGTTGTTACTATTGTATATATTTGATCATATTACGTGAAGTTTTTACATGTAGAATTTTTTAGCGTTGTCAATTATTGCTATATTTATTTATGCCATACAAATATGAATACAAATATTAATATGCAAAATCTGGTACGATAGTAACAATCTGGACGTTTAATAAAATCAGGAGTAATTATTCATGAGTCGGGTTTAAAATTATAACTCTAAGTTATTATAATTCTAACCCAGACAAACTCAATTACATCTGACCTTTTTGATTTGATTGATTTGATTATGAAGAATCACAACATCTCTGAGTAAATTAAACTCAATGTTTACCTTTGATACCAGTATTTAGCCTTATCTAAATCTCTTGCAATTCCATTTCCATTTCGATAACATTTTGCTACTCTTGACATTCCAAAAGCGTGCCCCATCTCTGCAGATTTTTGATAATAGGTGAAGGCATTAAATACATCTTTTTCAACTCCAATCCCGTTTTCATAAAAAGTTGCGAGCATGAATGTTCCACTAGAATTCCCCATCTCTGCTGATTTTTGATAATAAATGAATGCCTTATGTTCATCCTTTTCAACTCCAATTCCATCTTTATAACAGTTACCAAGTGCAAATGATGCTCCACTTGCATAACCCATCTCTGCCGATTTTTGATAATAAATGAATGCATTATGTTCATCTTTTTCAACTCCAATTCCTTTTTCATAACAATACCCAACATTACATGTTCCACTAACATTCCCCATCTCTGCGGATTTTTGATAATAAATGAATGCCTTATGTTCATCCTTATCAACGCCAATTCCATTTCGATAACAATATCCAACATTACATGTTCCATCAGCGTCACCTATCTCTGCAGATTTTTGATAATAAATGAATGCCTTATGTTCATCCTTTTCAATCCATCTACCATTATGATAACAACGACCAAGAATTATTTGGGTCATAGAACTGATTTGATTTTCTAAACACCATTTAATTACATTATCTGGATTTTGCTTCTTTTTTGCTAAAAATTGTTCCAATATGCTAAATCTTTGTTCTAAATTTTTGCCCTTCAATTTTTCTTCATTATATAATTTACATAATTCTTTAACAATTTCACTAAAAATATTCCATGTATTATTATCTTCTAAATATTTTTGGTTAATATCTGTTGAACTGTCGCTCTGTATTAGATTATTTGTCATTTTAAATCAAAATGCCGATTTACATACGTACGTACATAAATCATTAAATACCGAATACAAGTGAGTGTGATACAACTTTTATCGTTAAATGCAAGTTTGTGTGACACAACTTTTTATAGATGCGTACGACGTAGGTACATACATAAAACCAAGATATGAGTGCGTGAGAGTGAAAACCAGGAAATAAATTTTTTTAACCCCTGAGGAAATGTATTGTCGATCTGTGTTCTAGTAGTTTCGGTAACACAATAATGATCTTATTAGAACATGATAGAGTGTCCACATAACGATAACAAATTCAACCAGATTTGATCTATTTTTAATTCGATTATAAAATAAAATAAGAAAAATTTTATCAAATTTTAATTTTATCAAATTTTAATTTGGCTGTTTTCGTGATATCGCTAGTGATATTTTAGATGCTAGAAATAACTGGACACTCTGGAACATGACAAGCACGATAACAATAATGATAATATATTGTATGATATTGATATGTGTTTGAGAGTGAAAACCTATAACTGATCATGTAAATGATTAAATACAGTTACAGGTTTTTATTCTCAAATACAAATAAAAGAAAATAATACATTATGGAATTTTTGAATTTCCAAATCATTGAGATTGTTACTTCTTTGAAACATTAAGAGAGCTCTAGTAACTTACAGGTAATAGGTATTTTTATTTCCTTTTGTGCTCTCACAATTCACAACTAATTACAATTAATTACATTTCTTTTTGACATTTTGTTTTTGTTGTGTCTCTTTTGTACAGGTTTTTTTCTGATTTCCAATCTATTCAATTAAATCATTACTTGGTTTTGAACAAAATTTGTCACAGAAAGCAATAGGCAATATAGCGAATGTTGTTCCAAATGTCAACTTGTTTTTCTTCAAAAAGACCCTTTGGTAAGAGTTCTTGAGGATTTAGACTTTCAGCATTGATATTCAGTTTTAATAATTTGAATTCATCTCATGGATTAGAGAATCTAATCTTAACTTTCATTATACCAGGATTTTTATTGCTGAATTGGAAAAATGATATTTTTGAATTGCTGAAGGTTTATAGTATAATAATTTAAATGATGAGGTTCAGTTATGGAATAGACCTGTTTGATTATCTAAGTTTACAGAAGAATTATTACTCACACTCCTATTTATTACTTCAACTAACTAATCAACACATCAAACTTCTGATTTGGCATACTCTTTTTTAGTATTACCAAATTCTCAGTCAATGGAATTTCGAGTATACCCTTTGATCTGAAAGTGATATTTGATCTTTTGAAATATTTGAATATGATAAGCCCATAGGAAGTACCATAGTAAACACAATTTTTTATTCTGCTCATCACAGTTATCCACCTAGAATCTAATTTTATTTTGTTAATTATAATTTTTAAGAATAATTTATTTCTGATTATTAAATATAAAAAATATTAATTAATATTTACCTGATTTCATCTGCTTTATCTAAAACAGAAGTGAGAAATGAATACACCATAGATGTAATTTTATTGGCTTCTTTTAATGCTTTTGCTTTTATATAAAGAATATGTTAATAGTGATCAATACCTTTATCCACTAATCCAAATTGGTGTACTTTCAACAATAACAAATAGTACCATCTTCCTGGTTGTTAAGGGTCATGAGACATCTCAACATTTTGAGCGAAGTTAAAAGAAAAAACACAAAATGAGATTGATCACACTCTTTTGTCATTCGAATATCATTTTCATATGCCTCCCTCATAGAATGATAATCAAATATATACTTGGCAAATTGGATATCAAGGTTTTCATCTATATTATTGCACTTTTTTAATGCACATTTAAATAGAGTATATTCATCATACACATCTTTTGATGGTTTTCTAATTACAATCTTACTTAACTCAGATCATCCTTCCATATTCTTTGAAAACTCCAATTACTTATATGATTATCTAGATGCGGTAGGTTATAAAAAGCTAAAAACCGATTATAGAAATAGTAAGATGGAAGAAGGACAAAATTATTCTTTTCATATTGTACTGTTATTTGCCTATTTATCTTTTTTTATACATATTTTCAAATAGCTACTGACTCACCATGTTGATTACCAATTAATCTAATATAAGATTTTATTTTTTCAGTTGTTTCAACTGATAGTTTAACAACAGATAAATGACTGGTATTTCTATGAAGTGAGGGAAGCATTTTCTGTTTTTTTTGAGCCCATCTGTGAAGACAATAAAAAGTATTTTTATTATATAACCAAAATGTTTAAAAAAAAGTACTACAAACTTTACTAAAGTATGGTAGTGGATACTTGGTATAGGTTTGTTTTTTGTATGGCCCTTTATCAGAAGAACATATAAGTAATGAAATTGAATAATGTCATTGCTCTTTACTCATATTAATACTCTCTAATGCTAAAGACCATAGCAAAAATGACAAAATCTTTTCACTACATTTATTCTTATATAAACAATACAATTTAGCCTATTAACTAATTTATTAACTGCAAAAATTTCTTTAAGTTCTTCTTCTTCAGTTTCTATACTATTCGAATCTCAAATTGAGTGTCTTCTATTATTTCTTTATTATATTCCATTTCCTCATCGTATTCTGCTTTCTCTTTATTATACTTGATTTCATGAGGAGTCAAGGTAACATTAATATTTAAAGATTTAAAAAAATGCACCAAATCTTCCAGAATTTCCATTGATTATATTAAAATATTATTAGATTACAGTATTAATAATGAAACTTTAAGTGTTGTGGATTTTAGATTATTACAGTTGTAATGTGAAAAGTTTTTAGATAACTAAATATTTTAAATTCTTATTCTTTATATATTTATTTTTGTATACAGTTATTACTAATCTATTTTATAATGTTTTTTAATTTATTTCTATTTAATCATAAAGAATTTGAGGGTAGTAACGGGACTACAGAAGTTAGAAATAGATGATACTTAATTGTCACATTCAATAATTTATTAATAATCAAATTTTTTAATAGATTACAGTATATAACATTTAATTTATAAGCCTTGTATTCTATTACTATTTAAGAGTATCATTCTTAAGAGTCTCTCTCAATAAGAGTGTGCAGCTATTTCTAGTATCTAAAATGGCATAAGTAATCTTATAATAACCATATAGCCAAATTTGATCAGAATTGGTTTATTTTAATTCTACATGTCTATATGGTAAAAATAAGAAAATTTTATCACATTCTGTTTAATCATTTTTGTGATATTACTAGTGCTATTTTAGATACTAGAAATAGCTAGACATGCTTTCAATAAACAAAATAAAAAAGAATCTGACTGTCTAGATTGATCAGACAGACCAATTAGCGTTTTTATTATGTTAATTGTTAAAGGTGTATAAGAACATCTTAAATTATAGAATTTTATAGGCTTTCAAGCATTAAATATGGATTAGACCTTATTACCTATTGCCTCATCATTGTTATAAAGTAGAATGTTTTATACAACATTCATAAGTATTTCATGATCTGTTGCATGAATTATCATGCTGCAAAGATGATTATCATTTTAGATATAATGAGATTTTTATTATCCTTTTTTATCAATTAGGAATGTTAAGTAGTGTGTCTAGTTTAGTTCTGTTAAAACAAATCTTACTCTAGTAGTTTATACAAATTTTATAATACTTTTTATTATAAACTTTACTATTATAGATCAACAAAATCAATACTTAACTAATTTACTAATTAGAGTATCTGTCATTGATTTTTCAATTAGCAAATTTTATTTAAAATACTATTACTCAGAATATATTGTTATTGATTATATTTTATCGAATTTTATTTAATGTGTCAAAAATGATACTCAATTCATATTATGCGAGAGCTAAACTGGTTTTGGACCAGTCCCTACTAGTCCTGAAGAAGTCTGGTTCGAACTAGTTTCCTGTAGACTATTTTACATTCCCTATTACCAATAAACAGTAAAATTACCACCTTGTCTACAAATTATTTTGAATATATATAAGTGTGTGAGAATAAAAACCTGAAAGTAAAATCTTGGAACTTAAAAAACTGTGATTAGTATTTTGGCAATTTTAGTAATTCAATTATTATATATTATTAAATTATCAAAATACTGATCATAATTTTTTAGAACACAAATTTTTACTTACATGTTTTCATTCATAGAGTACGTGTGTAAGCGTTATTTTGAAACAAAGGCTAACTTACTAATAACTTAGTTTTTAAAATAATCATTTAGGCACAGAAGAACTTAAATAGAATTATTAGAGCTAAATAGATGCATATCTATTGAAACATAACCAGGGTGGTCACTGATTTTATGGGTTATATAGATGGCATCACCAATGTTCAATATGCACAATATGCAATATAGGATCAAAATTTTCATCGCAATAGTAGCACTATAAATTCAATTGCTGCAGGTAACACTATCTACATAACCTGTAAAATTGGTAGTCACCTTGGTCATGTTATTTGTTGAGATTCATTCAAAGATTTACTTTTTTTTTCTTAATGGACAGCCAATTCGCCAACCTTGCATTTAGGTGATTATAAGTGGATGCATTCAATTATTGTCTTTAAAGATTTTTATTGTATAATTTTTTATTGTTTACACAAATCACTCAAAAAAAATGAAGAAAATATGTGTGTTTTATTCAAGTATTATTTAGAGATGTTAGTAGTTTAATTCTGATCTGGTTTTCAAAAGTCTAATCCCAGACTGGTTAAGAATTAGTTCATTTACCAAATCCTAGCACATTAATATAATATTAGAACTTTAAAAACAATTAGAGTATTTACTAATTTGACTTAAATTTACCAATTGATGTATATAATAGGCTAGTAATTAATCACTCAATTATTGAATTTTAATGAAGCACAAGTTTTTTTCAATTTTAACAGCTGCTCTATCTAGTATGTTGGAAGTGTGTTGAGTATAACCCAGACTTGCATAAAGAGAGCATATTCCTAAGTTGTGAATACAAAAGTAAAATTTCCAATTATACTATATAATAAAACTTTTACTTTGAATTTGTAACATAAAAAATGCAAACTCAGGTTTGTGTTTTTTAAGGATAAACTTCAATTTTAATTATTGAGTACTAAAGATGAAATGAGTATGTAAGAGTAAAAATCAGGAAATATATTTAATGATTTATTATGATTGGTTATAGGTTTTCATTCTCATGTACTCAAATAAAGATATTTGATTATATTTAAAATCTGCCAATAGTAACAATTCTGTTGGCCAATATAGTCTCAAACATTGTTACCAATATAGTATAGGCATCAATATAGACAAAAGGAAGCATTCAAATAGTATTTAAAATCTGCTAATAGTAGTAATTCAGCTGTTCAGCATAACTTTAGACATTGTTATCAGTATGGCATTGGTGCAGCTAAAGGTGAAAAGAAAGGGTCTGAATCGTATTTAAAATCTACAAAAAATGTTAGTTCTAATAAAAAAATAATTTCAACCCTGATCAAATCGAAAAATATTTGAACAGTATTTGAAATCTATTAATGGTGGCAACTATGTTGAACAAAGTATATTTACCAATATAGTATAGACACTATTAAAGATGAAAAAAAACAATTATGTCATAAAAATATGTGTCTGTAATAATTGAACTGTATTTATTATTGAAGTGTATTAATAAATTTTATATAATTTGCATTATAATGTTACATTTAATTCTGCTAATTTATTTAATTGTACCATATAATGTTCCTATATAATAACTTCTAATTTTCTTCAAAAATTTGCATTTTTTAAATTTACTAAAATGCCATCTCGATGATTTCGTGCATGCAATTTAAGCAAAGCATACAATTCTTATATTCAATATCTTTAAAACAAAAAACTAAACGAATTTATTGATATAAGTAATGAATATAGAAGAAAAGTCAATGCATGAGGTTAAGCATCTAAATTGAAAAAAATCTGAATTAGACAAATTCCAAATGGAAAAGAGAGATCAAACATCTGAATTGGAAAAATGTGAATTAGAAAAATTCCAAATAGAAAAGAGAGATCAAACAACTGAATTTAAAAAATCTGAATTAGATAAATTCCAAATAGAAAAGAGAAATCAAACATCTAAATTGGAAAAATCTGAATTAGAAACATTTCAAAGAGAAATAAGAAATCAAACACCTGAATTGGGTTAATGGTAAATAAAATCTTGGTTGTTTAAAATCATAACATATGTTATATTTTATTTAGCAATAAATTCTTATTCATTTTCTTAATCTTTACTTAAACAAATCAGTTATGGTTTTATAGTTATATATTTTATATTTATGAAATTTAAGATTATTTTTTGATTTAATTTTTTATGAATTGTAATTGTTTTTTGAAAGGTTGGGATTTGTCTGGATTTGTCCAGCAAGTATAGGAATGGTACAAAAACTATAGCTGGATTTTTCTAGCACAGGTTGTTTACAACCTGTGCACAATGTTGCAAGACAGTAATTATAGCATCTGAAGAATGTAGCGCAATAGTTCATAACATATTTGAAGACTGAATTTTCGTGTTAATAGTTGAAAATAAGAATTGATTTCTTAATTACTGACTGCTATTATTAAGCTTATGATACTTCAATTATATACACTATAATTTATATTTGGTACACTAATTAATTTTTTTTTTTGCTATTACTTAAGAATCATTAGTATTACCTATGCATTATGCACCCCCATGTCTTATTATTTAATTACATTATTAATGTTATACTTAAACTGACTCTTAAATTAATCTTATAACTGTGATTTGATCTATTATCTTATTACATGAACACATGTTATAGCAACTGACAATAAGAGACCCAATTCATAATAAATACCAGTTCAAGTTAACTATTGAATCTAAACCAGGCACCTTATAGTGAAACTGCTCTCCTAACAATAAGAACTATGAAAGCTTATATTATTTTTAAAATCTTTTTTATGTTTTTTGTTAAGATCTGTTAGTTGGCAAGAAAAATCTTCATGAATTTTCATACAGATTAAACACACCAAACATACTAGACATGCATTAAAGCAAGAATTTAATTTGGATATATTGACATTATAGTATCATTCTAAATACTGTTAACCTACAAAAATAACCATAAATCTTGAACCACTGGACAGAATTTGATGAAACTACCACCATTCGAATCAGCTCACTGAGATGGTTCTGTTGAGGTATAGATCATCTATTTTTGATCACAGAATCCCAAGATCAAATCCTATAACCAAATTAATAAGGAAGCTGTGATCTGATTGGTTGATGATAACTGCACAAAATATCATACATATAACATATATAACATTTATGCATTTTGAAGCATCTATATTTTATATTATCTTTAGTTTACATA